AATAACTTCTCTATGTCTTAATTTCCTGATCTGTAAAATGCGAATAATAATAACCCCTAACTCATAGGGGTTCTCAGGAAGATTGAATGAGTTAGCATATATAAAGTACTAGGACTGGGCCTGGCAAAGAATAAGCTCTCAGTAAATGTTAGCTGTTGTATTAATACTTTGACAATCAGGAAAACATGTGACTTTTAAAAACTAAATCTGCCAGGAAACTTCCAGAAGCCAGATTAGGGAGACCAACAAGTCTATAAGTTCAAAAGAGAACAGGGGTGGCCCTAGGCACCAACCTGGTAGCCATGGTATTGGATACATAAGCAGGTTGTACTGGCTACCTAGAAACCAGACTGAAAGGTGAGGAAGCAGCCTTTCTCCTCCTGGGGCCGCCAAGGCCCTCAGACTCAGGACAAGGAGCCAGTGCACACATGGCTGCAAGACCGCAGCTGCCACATCTCCTTTCCCTCAATTACCCAGTCCACTCCCCAGCTCGCCCCACCTTCCCTTATGTAAACTTCTCAGGAAAGGGAGGAATATAGCCTTTCACACAAGGTGTCAAAGGACTGCTATAGCTTAATGTATAGTTCTCCAAGAGCTGGGCAGTGGTGGGCTGGTCAATGTTTAACGAGTAGCTGGAAAGTGGGAGTAGGGGAGAAATACCTGATTTGTAGATTTGGAAATTTCCATGGTATAAATATTCCCCCGTGGTTGTTATTAAGCTACCAATGTGACATCAGCTGGCTCACAAAATTCCTGAAAATTTGACAATCGGCTTTCATGAGCCAGTACTAGTGGGCTTGGGCATCCCACTGGGTGTTTATATTTTAATAGGGAACAAAATCTTGAAGCCAAAAGAATGATTCTACACCAGAATAATCGGCCAGTGAAGCTCCAGAATTATTTTGAAGGGCAAAGAACCATTCCCAGTATCTTCCACAAAAGGGGAACCACATACTGTGTATGTGCATAAGGATGGTCTGTGTGTCAGCAGGACAGAGACCCCAGAACCTGGCAACTCAAGATGTGAGTTCAGGACCAGCAGCAGCCCCTGAAAGCTTGTTAGAAATGCAGAATGTCAGTCCCCATTTATACCTGCTGAATCAGAATCTGCATTTTAACAAGATCTCCAAGTGATCTGAATGCATATTACAGTCTGAAAAGCACAGCTGTATATAACTCAACATAAGAGAAATAGAGATATAACTGTTTTAATTAAAGAAAGCCCCAACTGTGACATTCAGGTGCTCTTTGCTACTTGGAAGGTAACTTGGATGTAAAGAGTAAGCAATTCTTACCTTCCACAATCCTCTAGAAATGGCTTAACATTTCCACATTTTCTATTTCAACAATGGGGCATGGAGTGGTGACAAGTCCCTCCATCTCCACTCCCTCCCCCAGCCACGGGGCCACAAAGCCTAAGCTCTGAGATTCTGCCTGAGGTAGAGAAATATAGATTCCTCAAGAGCTGCTATTCAAGCCATAAGTGGCATGTGCCAATGTTCCACCCACAATCCTGGTTCAGTCTCCATTAAGCTGCACATCTGGCTGTCACACACTCTTTTGTGGGGCCATCTCAATGGCAGTACTGATGCTGCCTCTCTCCAGAGCCAGCCCCACAGTGGCCTCCCTGTCCTCCCAGCATGTGATGTCATGAGCATGAATGTCCTGCCAAACATTTAAGATGTTGCAGTTCACATTGTGTACATTGTATAGAGAAACACTGAAATGCAGATTTTTTAATTAAAAAAAAAACAGGGCAAGATACAACCAAACCTTGTTCTATTGTTATCCCAAACCACCAATTCAGCACAAATATGTAACTTGTATTCTTTAAGTACAAAATCTTCTTCTCTTGTTGCTGTTATTGTAACTAAAACATCGCTAGATTAGATATTCTTTTGAGACAATCTTTTCTCTAATTTGGGTCTATCAAGTTCTTGGAAAGCCTGAGCAGGACTGGTTTGTTTTCATCCCAAAGATGCTCTGCGTGCAGTCTCCCCAGAATAGGTTGAAGAGAGAGAGTGAAGCTTGGCATAACTCTCAAATTCATCTCACCTCGAATAACCATCACAGAGGGGACGAGGGTGGACATTAGCTGCACCACAGAAAAGCATGGGAAGGAAGCCTTCCGTTCACTGTTTCTCAAAGCATGGTGTGAAGACCGCCTCATCAGAATCACTGGGGTGGGCAATAAAAACGCAGATTCTTGGGTCTCGACCCAGATGGACTGAGTGGGTCTCTGGGGGTGAAGAGAGCGAATCTGCATTTTACCTGATGCCCCAGCAATGATTCTTAAGTTGGAGAACAAGGGCTTTAGACTTAAAGAGACTCAAATCCCTTTTAGTTATATGACCTTGACAAACAACCTGAACTCTCTACATCTCATTTTTCTCATCTATAAAATGTGGACTGGGGGGAGGATTAAATGTGTGCAGTTCCTGGCAGAAACAGGTCTCAATAACATGAATAGCCTTTTACCTGCTATTTAGGTGAATTACCTCAGGTCTGCCATTGTACATGTGATTGGGAGTCATTGTCTTCACCTGGGTGAAGATTTATTATAACCGTTCAATAAGTTGTAATGGCCAAGGTGTAATGGAACACTAAGGAAAGCAGATGAAACAATCAAGACTGAATCCCTCTTTGATGATTACAGAAACAGAACCTATTGTTCTCCAGCTGCGCTGTCCAAGCCAATAGCCTCTAGCCACATGTGGCCGTTAAACACTTGAAATGTGGCTAGTACAAACTTAGATGTTCTGTAAGTGCAACACTCACACTGGAATCCAAAGACTTAATCCAAAAAGAATGTAAAATATCCCATTGATTGATTACATATTGAAATGATAATATTTTGAATGTACTGGATCAAATAATATACATTAAAATTAATTTCACTTTGTTTATTTTTAGCTTTTTTAACGTGGGTACTATAAAATTTTAAGTCACTTGTGTGGCTCACATTATATTCTTATTAAACAGCACTGTTCTAGAGGAATATCTACCCCTTTTCCCTCAAACTGTTAATAAAACCTAACCCTGGAGTTATACCTACAAAATGGGATTCCCCAGTTAGTCAGGTAACAGTCAGCTAGGGGAGACTTAGGGTCTCTCTTCTTATGCTTCAGGCAAAAGTGGGGCTCATGTAGTATACCCCTGCATGAGAAAAGGCAAGCAGCAGCCTCGGAGAAGAAGAGGAGAGACCTGCTTGATGACACTTCTGATTCAAGTTTCTGGCTGTGAGGAGAGGGAGCATTGGCACCGAAAGCCATACTTGACCACTCACCCAAATGCCTTTTACTCCATTCATGTTCATAATTGTTACATCCTACTGAGTTTTAATGAGGTAGGGAGGGTCCTCCAATACAGTCACATCATTGTGTCCTTACAAAAACCGTATCATAGTTAAGCAAATATTTTGGTCAATATGAAGACCATCTTTTCCACATAAGTAATTTAGAAATAGTTTCCACCAGGTTATAATCTCCTAATGTACACAATTTCTGCAAAATGACTAGCCCAAATGGACATTTCCAAAAAGGAAATGTTTGCCAATCATTATACTGTCAGCTAATGAGATTAGCATTTTATTTGGAAAAAGTCTGCCAAAATAGATTGTAATCTGTTTTCTGAGAGCAGACCCATAATTTGACTGAGTTTCTGGAATAGAAAACAAATAAAAATCAACTCAATGTGTGTTTGTACAAAATTTCCAAACATCTACATGTATGTGTTTGAATGAAATGTATTTAGATATTATTACCTAAAGATTAAAAAAATGGGTTTGTTTAATTCTCCCTTTATACCTAGCCAATTCCTTTAGTGAGTGTTCAAAGTAGAAAAAGTTTACCTGCATAACGCGAAACTTGCTTTCTGAATTTTTTCCTAATCAGAAATTTGGTTTGCTGCCCATTTATATATGATTGCTGCCTACTTATACATGACTTAAAGATGCCATAAAGTCACTCCACTTAGGAAACCTAGAGAGCATGTAGGTTATATTTTATGACCACACATTACCGCCACTATATAGTGAATAAAATATAAATTTTTAATTAGTCAGGGCAAGGCAGAATGATTTGTTCTTGAATCACTGATCAGGTTTCCGATAAATTACCAACAGAGATTAACGAAATTTTTTTTAAATCTATAGAAGATACTTCTGAATACAATAGAAGATGGAAGGCCAGTTCTGCAGACAGTCTGTTATTTTATTGCACAAATTTCACTTAAAGAACAAAATGCACCATCAGTGTTTGGAGAGTTTGGGGTCTCAGATACTGATATACCATCAGTTTTACACCCGTAAAGCCAAATTCAACAGTACAATTCATGTTAAACAACATCACTTCAAGGTAGCTAACAGAATGAAAATGGAGACAGAAAGGGAAAAAAGCTTTCAAAATGTGTTAAGTTGAAGCACATGCAAATGTAAAACTAAAACCTACATCATACAAACCTGGAAATCAAAAAAGTTCTGTGGAATGTCAGTTAAAGTTATACTCATTTGTACTGTTATTTATTGCATAATTAAAGTCAACTTGGTTCATTTCCTTCATTTTGATGAACTGAGAATTTCAGGAAAACCATGGTTATAAAAATGATCAATCTTGAAAAAGTATGTACAGATAAATGTAAAATCACAAACTAAAAAATATCCCCACCCCTTCCCCTCAACTGACAAAAGGGAAACTTTCCCATGGACAGAAAGTTCCACAATCCCCCTCCCTCCCTTACCCCATGTCCTAGATTTATCTTTTTCTATCTCTTATAAGTAAATGACCTTGGAACTGAAGAGGAGGGAGAAAACAGAGAGGCATCTTTATGAGGCTCCCATTGTCATCTGTAACAGTTTAAAAAGTGTCTTTTATTTCTCTCCCCTACCCCTACCCAACTCAGTGATGTTTGCAAGACATTTAAAATTTAGAGAGAAACAAAATATATATATATGTATATATATATATATATACCTATATATATATATTTTTTTTTTTTTTAATAAACAACAAAGGAATGCCCAAGAAAAAAGCTAATAGTGGGCAACACCATGAGAAAAATGTGTGGGCACTATCTGAGCTAGAGATTTCTTTTAAGGCAACCAAAAGGTGTGGGGAGAGGGTGTTAAAACTGCAAATAGCCAGACAGAATGCTTTTCTAGACCTTTGGCTTTGGAGCCTGGCAGAGGAGTGGGCTTCCCCCACTGTGCGACAAACCTAGGGTCACAGGCCCAGCATCTACAGCACCTCCGTGGGCAGCCTGGCAGCCCTCTTATACATGGGCACTCTTGGCATGAGTCGGAGAGCTGGAGCCTGAAGAGTAGTAGAAACGGTTTTCACCAAATGACTGGGCATCTCCAGCGCAGCAGATGATGACACAGCCACCCACAAGGCACAGCACGGCCCCAATCCAGCCCGCGTACAGAGAGTAGCCGAAGCTCACGATGGTGGTCTCACGGTGGGCACACACAGGGAACCAGATGGTGGCGACGATGGCACAGAGAGCTGGGGAAACAAGGAGACAGCCGTGAGCAGGCATACCTGTCCCACACCAAGCACAGAGGCAGGCGCACTCCCTCCACGTACACACACCTCTGGCTTCCAACCAGCTCCAAAACACTCCAGGCACACAGCTCCACTCCCTCTGCAAACTGAACCTAAAGGTTTGCATCAAGAATAAATTGACTAAAAGCTTGTGTCAAACTGCTGGATCCTTATTTTCTTTCCAACAAGTGGCAGAGACAAAAACCTAGAAATAAATCATTTAAATTCAAAAAATATTTATTTGTATTTACTTGTATACCGTGACTTTATATCTATAGTTATAATTATATTATTACACTTATTAATAGCATTATAATTATCTCTTTACATGTCTATTTCCAATTTCAGTCTCTGGGTTCCTTGAAGGCAGGGGTCATGTCTTACTTATGTCTGTAAATTCAACATTTAGCTCAATACCAGGCACATGGTATGTGCTCAATGTACACTAGTTGAATGACTGAATGACCTGGGCTATTCAGAGATGAGAAACGATATGGTATCCACAACAACTTTGCACTCTATTTTTTCAGTGTTGTCAATTCACATTACAAAGACCTGGAGAAACTATGAGATTTCTCTTTCTGTGGTGAATATAGTTAGACATAAATAGAATATCAGCTAAGGGTTCAAGTTTGTGTTATTATGTTGTTCACAATCACAAAATCCCAACACACAAACGAACAGTCTTTGGAGTAAAAGAATTTACCCATTCAGTGATTTTATGGTGGTGATATTTGTTGTGATGGGTCACAATGGTAGAACTTTATGGTCTTGCACAATCAGTCTAACCTTCTGATTTGGTTTAGATTTTATAGATTAAAATAAGAAATAATTTCTACATCATTTAGTTCTTCCCCTCTTTTTAAGCAAAGTAACAAAACAAGGACAGGCAGGAGCTTATAAAAACTTAAGAATCTTTTTAAACCCCTAGACCAGCCCTATCAAATAAGGCAGCCACAAGCTACATTGGGCCATTGAATATTCATCATGAAGCTAGTGAGACTGAAGAACTCAATTTCAAACTTAAATTAATTTTAATTTAAATGGCCGCATGTGGCTAATGGCTACTGTACTGAACAACACAACTCTAGACAAAGTAACTCTAAGACTTCTTTTAGTATCATCTGATTTCTCACAACTACATCAGGACAGAAATTTTAGTTAGAACTTTTAAGTGGGGGTGGCACATTTAAGTTGGCAGACACAAAAATAATAATAAATAATGAGGTTTTCCATTGTTAGCCATAAAAGCTGTCAAATTCAAGACAGGGCATTGCATTGCCAGTCTGATGTGTGCCATCTGGGGTACCCTCGTCACTTTCAACTCAGCAAACTTTTTTCTGATTTCCATCCATACTGAGTGATTTTCTAACTCACCCTCTATGCCAACAGAGAAGAAATATAATTTTTCTTTAACATAAGCACTCAGATCTAACAGTTCTGTACATTAGCTCTAAACTCAAGAAAAGATCTAACTCTCAACCCATTTTGAAAGACCTTTTAAATTATCTCACTGCATTTGTGTAGCTTGTAACATAGGTTTTTGTGGACGACAAACTAAGACCACCCTCACGAGCAGGGTATAGATACACATAAATAGATGTGATTCTATCCTAAAAAAGTATAGATACCAAGGGGAAGTCAGACAAAAGAGAGAAGATTTCAGGGCTTTGAATAACCTGGATTTGCTTTCTAACAGCCTAAATTCACTCCATTAATTGTGAACTATTCACACAATTAAGGAGTTTATACAGACTATCTAAGAAGCAAAAATCTATCCATATGTTAATGGAGTCCTTTTTCTTAAAGAATAAGCATAATCATGTCAGCTTCTGTAATATTTTTACATAAGGTACCATAAGAAGATGTATTTGTCTTCTGTCAATAGAACTTTCAAGAAGACCAGAGTTTATCTGAATCATCCTTTCCAGCCCAGGGCTTTGAAAACCTCGGGGAAAGTCTTTTTCTTTGTCTTCCTCTGGCCATGGATTCCAAATCAGGCACTCTTGGAGAATTGCTTGGCTAATATTATAGTCATACTTTCAGCAAGATAAAGGAAAAGCCTTTTTTTCTATCAGCACAGGGGACAGACATGCTCTTCTAGAGTGTTTCAGCCAGAGAGAACTGCTGTAGATTCCCCCATAGCAATACACAGTCCAGCTACACAGCCCTAGACCCCAAAAGTGGTCATTCATTCTGATATAGGGAAAAACAGCAACCTAGCAAGGATTTCCGAACACCCAGGCTTGTTTAGAGGAAGAGGGCAGAGAGTGAAAAGCTAAATTTTGTAGGAAAAAAATATTTAATTTCCGAGCAACTGATTTGGTTCAATCTAACCAATCTTTCCTGTAAACAATTAACTGGTTTCAAAACAGCTTATGGTTCAAATTAAGTTTTACATTTTTCAATTACTTTGTATTTACACATACAGCACATGCATACACATGTACAAAAGCATTCCTCACATCTCATGTAAACCTAAATTACCTTACAGATTTAGCTCAGATTTTGTAGAAAAAGACAAGAAGTTGCCTCTAAGTTCATTTAATTCTTCCCTTTAGTAATAAAGCAAGGTTATTTTCACATAGAGAAAGAACTGAGCTCAGTATTCCAAAAATAACTATCAGTCAATTGAGTGTTTTAGATTGTTAGATTTTATCCCAATATAATTCATTAGAAAAAGGGAAAAAAACAGAAAAATGTCTAAACATTTATATAAGAACCTCAGAGGGCTGGATGAGTGCATGAGTGGACCGACGGAAGGCAGACAGACAGGTGGACAGAAGGAGAGGTAGCCTTATTTCAATTCTACTTTCCACTTCATACACACCAAAACTAACTTCTAAAATCAAAAAATTTTAATGTGACTTTAACACACTTAAAGTCACAAGCTATAATTCACATCATTAAAGGTTTCCTTCTTTTATAATCCATGTAAAACCAGGCAAATGAGTACCAGCAGGCTCTTTATTTCCTAGTAGATAAATGAACTCTGGGTAGAATTCCTGTGGCTCTCAAAGATGAACCACATCAAAACCACTAAAAAAATGACAGACCACCACACAACAGGAAAGGAAATGAGAGACTCACTGGAAACCATGACCTCCAACCGAACTCAAAATGAAAAAAGTTTAGAAACTAAAAAAAGGAGAATTTACTCAACTTGAGCAATGGTTTGAAGGGAGAAAGAGATATGTTTTGATCAGTGAAGTTAAAAATGCAAATCAAATCATTACTTAACTAAAAAATGTGAAATATTAATAAAACTAGCAATAATTTCTGGTTTTCTTAAAGACATAGAAGTCCTGCTACATTTTTTCCATTTTTAGATGAATTTGAAATAGTTCTCTCTGTTATTTGGGAAAAATAAAGAAAACGTTTTTCTTAAAAGTCACAGTTACCTATAAGTTAAAGAAAATTGAGGAAATATAAAAGGAATTTTCATTCTTTTTCTTTTTGTGTTATCAGAATTTGTTTTTAAATTAAGCCTAAAAACAAGATATGATAATTTCAGCACTCAGATTTTTCAGTTTCTTTCTCCTCTCTTACCTTCAGAAGATGCAACAGTTAATGGCAGAAGGTTTGAGGGGTGTCTGCCATTTGTTATTGTGGAATTGAAAGAGAAAATTGGGCATATTCATAGCTAAAAAAAAAAAAAGAAAGAAAAGGAGGAAAAGGAGGAGGAAGTAAAGGAAAAAAGCTTCAGAGAAGAAGAAGAAAGCTTCACTATGTAAATACAAATTCATCTGGACTTGGTTCTCTCATAAGTAT